TGGACTTTTAAGAAGTCCAAGGGGGATTTTGAGATTTTTAGCAAGGGGCAGCACAACTCTCAACATGATGTTCTGAGACTGCTGCCGGATCATGGTACACTTTTACCCGTTGGCCATTTACCTTGAAAATAGAGTTATCTTCCAGGTTTACCAAGTCCACTGCTCCATAAGGGTACACTTTAAAAACAAGAAAAGGCCCATACAATCTAGACTTAAGTTTTCTAGGGAATAACTTCAGTCTAGAATTAAACAAAAGCACATGCTGGCCTTCTCTCAACTCTCTGTGTTGTATTCTCTTGTCATGCCAACTTTTAGTTTTCTCTTTATAGAGCTTGGCATTTTCATAGGACAACAGCCTATGTTCATCCAGTTTACAGAGTTGTAGCTTCCTTTTCAAACCAACATCTTTTAAAGAAAAATTTAAATCTTTTATGGCCCAATATGCTTTACGTTCAACCTCTAACGGAAGATGACAGGCCTTGCCATAGACTAGCTTGTATGGGGACATACCAATTGGTGTTTTGAAAGCGGTTTTGTATGCCCATAAAGCATCATCTAGTTTAAATGCGCAATCCTTCCTGTTAGGCTTGATAACTTTTTCCAAAATACTTTTTATTTCTCTGTTGGACAACTCTGCTAAGCCATTTGTCTGTGGGTGATAAGTTGTGGCTATTTTGTGGTTAACATTATATTTTGCAAGAACTCCACTTAACAAATTATTTATAAAGTGGGTACCCTCATCACTTATTAAGGCTCTGGGGTACCAAACCGTGTAAAAATTTGCTTTTGTAGGAACTTAACCACAGTCTTGGCATCATTTGAAACACATGCCACAACTTCTACCCATTTTGAGACATAATCTATAGCAACCAGTATGTATTGGCAGTTATTTGATGGGGGGAAATGACCCATAAAGTCTATTCCCCAAACATCAAATAACTCAACTTCCAGGATCCCATGTAGTGGCATTTCATTTCTTTTAGAAATGGACCCACTCCTTTGGCATTTATTGCATCTTTGTGCAAAGTTATGGGAATCCTTGAAGAGAGTCGGCCAATAGAAACCAGACTGTAAGACCTTGGCAGCAGTTCTCTGTCCTCCAAAATGTCCTTCATAAGGAGCTTGGTGACAATGATACAACACTTTTGCCACCTCAGACTCTGGAATGCACCTTCTCAAAAGCTGATCTGCACCAAGTTTAAACAAAAAGGGGTCATCCCAAAAATAAGATTTGACATCATGAAAAAATTTCTTAAGCATGTGGCTTGTGTATTCAGATGGTTTGATGCCACATGCTAAGAAATTTGCTATATCTGCAAACCATGGTGGTTTTTGTTGTTGCACCATCAAAATTCTCTCATCTGGGAAGGTCTCTATAATGTCACCTCCCCCTATCTCAGGTTTCTCTAACCTAGATAAATGGTCTGCTACCTAATTTTCCACACCCTTCCTATCACGTATTTCCAAATCAAATTCCTGCAATAACAACACCCACCTTATCAACCTAGGCTTTGCATCTTTCTTTGAGATCAAATATTTAATGGCTGCATGATCAGTATGCACAATCACTTTTGTGTCCATCAAGTATGATCTAAATCTTTCAAATGCAAACACTACGACCAATAATTCTTTTTTCATGGTGGTGTAGTTTATCTGTGCTTCATTCAAAATTTTACTTGCATAATAAATTGAATGGAACACCTTCTTTCTTCTCTGGCCTAAAACAGTACCAACCGCCCAATCGCTCGCATCACACATAATTTCAAAAGGTTTGTTCCAGTCTGGAGCAACTACCACTGGTGAAGTAATCAGGGCTTTCTTCAAAGTTTTGAATGCATTTTTACATTCATCATTAAAATCAAATTTTTGGTCATGTTGTAGGAGTAAAAATAAAAGTTTTGATATTTTTGAAAAATCCTTTATGAACCTTCTGTAAAATCCCGCATGACCCAAAAAACTCCTGATTCCTTTAACAGTGGTAGGTTCTGGTAGTTTTTCAATAACTTTAAGTTTTGCTTTATCTACCTCCACTCCTTTTTTAGAGATTAAGTGCCCCAGAACAATTCCTTCCTTAACCATGAAGTGAGATTTATCCCAGTTGAGAACCAAATCAGTTTCCTCACACCTTTCAAGACTCTTTTTTAAATTGTCCAAACAGTTATCAAAAGATGAACCATACACAGAAAAATCATCCATAAAGATTTCAATGGATTTTTCAAGCATATTAGAAAATATGGACATCATACACCTCTGAAAGGTGGCAGGAGCATTACACAGTCCAAATGGCATTCTTCTGAAAGCAAAGGTGCCATAAGGACATGTGAAGGTGGTCTTTACCTGGTCCTCAAGAGAAATAGCTATTTGATTTAACCTGAATAACCATCTAAGAAATAGTAGTACTCCTAGCCGGCTAATCTATCCAACATTTGATCAATGAAAGGTAGTGGAAAATGGTCTTTGTGAGTAGCCTTGTTCAGCCTCCTATAGTCCATGCATATTCTCCAACCGGATACAACTCTGGTGGGGATAAGTTCATTTTTTTTATTTGTAATGACTGTGAACCCTCCTTTCTTGGGATCACACTGGACCGGGCTAACCCAAGAACTACTGGATATCGGGAAGATAATTCCTGCATCTAACCATTTCAAAATCTCCTTTTTTACTACTTCTTTCATGACAGGATTTAGCCTTCTTTGAGGTTCTATGGATGTGAAATTTTTGTCCTCTAAGATGATCTTATGTTGAAAAATTGAGGGACTAATCCCTTTAAGGTCCGCAATGGTCTATCCTAAAGCCTTTTTGTGCATTTTCAACATGTCCACAAGTTTCTTCTCTTGAAGCAAGTCTAGGGTAGATGAGATAATGACAGGCAATTTGCCTTCTTCTCCTAGAAAAGCATATTTCAGATGGGATGGGCGTTGCTTTAACTCCAGATCAGGTGGTGACACTATGGACGGGGTGAAGTCTTTTTGCTCATTATTCTTCAAAAGTTCAAAAGCTGACACCTCTTCTGGCACATAATCATTTCCTATTGCCTCTATTTCGTCAACAATCTCTTCTTCTAATTCCTCTACACTCTCTTCTTCCAACTTAAGGTTCTCCTGAATTCCTTCCTTAACAACCTCTTCTTCTATTTCAGCTATGCCTGAACACTCTTCCAAATAATCAGGGTATTTTAAGGAGTTGAAGACATTAAATGTGATCTTTTGGTCTTGAAGCCTCATGGTCAACTCTCCTTTCTGGACATCTATCAAAGTTCTTCCGGTGGCTAAGAAAGGTCTTCCTAAAATAATTGGAATGTCCTTATCAGCCTCAAAATCTAATATGATAAAATCTGCCAGAAATATGAACTTATCAACCTGTACCAACACATCTTCTATCTTTCCCTTAGGGTATGCAATAGACTTATTTGCTAGCTGGAGTGTAACTGTGGTGGGTTTAGCTTCTCCTATGCCTAAGGTTTTAAAGACAAACAAAGGCATGAGGTTTAATACTAGCTCCTAAGTCACATAGGGCTTTCCCTATCTTCTTCCCTCTTATTGAACAAGGAATGGTAAAACTCCCTGGATCTTTAAGCTTAGGGGGTATGCTATTGGTCAAAAGTGCACTACATCCTTCGGTAAGAGCTACAGTCTCATACTCAGTCAACTTCTTCTTCTTGCTTAAGATATCCTTCAGAAACTTAGCATAACTAGGCATTTGCTCTATTGCCTCAACAAGGGGTATGTTGATGTCCAATTCTTTAAACACATCCAAGAATTTCTTAAAATGCAATTCCACTTTCTGATTCCTCAACCTCTAGGGGTAAGGAACATAAGGAGGGATTGGTTTTTATCACATTCTTACTTGGATATGTTGAGCAAGATGGATCTTGAATGCCCTGAGTCCTTGTGGTGCTCTTTGGTGGTTCAAACAGATTCTTGGTGTCAAGCTTAGGGGTCTCTACAACCTCAGTCCCTTCAGATTTCTTCAGAGTTTCCTCTAGAAAAAGTAAAGGGAAGTCTGATCTAGGGGAAACAAGAGTGGTGGTCTCAAATGTTTGCTTTTCTAGAGGTGGGACCGGTCTTTCATTGAAAGGGACCGATACCGGATCACTAGTTTCTGACAGTCTTGGCGTACTATATTTTTGCACTTTTTCTGTCAACTTCTTCCCACTCCTAAGAGTCACTACTTTCACATGCTCCTTTCCTAGATCTCTGGGGACTTCTGTATTACTGGGCAAGGTCCCAATGGCTCGACTACTCTGGTTAAGCGCAAGTTGACTGACCTGAGTCTCTAAATTCTTGATGGCAGCACTTTGTTGATTTATCAAAGCTTGATTTTGGGCTTGAGCATGTGCTAAAAGCCCTTTTATCATCGCTTCCAAAGAAGATGATGATTCTGCCTGTGGAGGAGGTTTGGTCTGAAAATGTGGTTGAGAATTCTGAAAACTTTGTTGGTGGTTCTGAGAGTTAGAACTGTTTGCATGATGTTGTGGTTGAAAATTAGAAGTTCCTTGTTGTTTATGGACTGGTGGATTAAGACTGGGACTGGTCCAAGAAAAGTTCGGGTGCTGTTTCCAACTGGCATTATATGAGTTAGAGTAGGGATTAGATTTGTTTTGAACATAATTTACTGATTCAGAATTATGAGTACAATGTTCATATGAATGATCCCCACCGCAACACACACATTGCACAGATAGGACTGTTGGAACAGATGTGTTAGCAGCTTGCTGTACTCCCTGACCAGAAGTTAAGTTTTTCAATAAATTGGTCATGGAGGTGAGCTGAGCTGTTAATGCAGTATATGCATCCACTTCATGTATCCCAGCAGTCTTTTTCTATGGCTAGGTATGTGGGTCAGCCCAATGCCCATTGTTTACTGATATCTTTTCCAGGATTTCATATCCCTCATTATAGGTACTGGCTGTAAAGGCTCCGCCTGTAGTCGCGTCGAGCATTTGTTTTGCCATGGGACTTAACCCATTGTAAAATGTCTCAAGTTGAATGCAGTATGGAATGCCATGGTGTGGGCATTTTCTCAACAACTCTTTAAACCTTTCCCACGCATCATGAACAGCTTCATCATCTAGTTGTTTAAAAAGACATATCTCGTTTCTGGATTTAGCGTTCCTTGTTGGTGGAAAATATTTTCGCAAAATCTTTTCCGCCATGTTACTCCATGATTGCACAGATCCCGATGTTAAAGAATTAAACCATGCTTTTCCCCGATCCCTTAATGAAAATGGAAATAAAGTAAGTCTGAGAGCGTCATTGGACACTCCCGGGATCAGGAAGGCATTTATGATTTCCATAAAAGATTTTAAATGAGAATGTGGGTCCTCTGAGGGCAGTCCAGCAAATTGACCATTAGTTTGCAACATGTGAAACATTATCGGTTTTAATTTGAAATAGAGAGCGGTCATATGTGGTTTAACTATCCCAGAATTTAATTGCTCAAAATCCGGGATAGCATAATCCATGATCCTTCCATTTTTGGAATTTCCCAGATTAACGATGTTCAGAGTTTGTGCCCTTTGTTGCTCATTATGGTCCAATTCTGTGTCCAAATTATTATCATTATCATTATGTGGGTGTCCTTGGTGTGTTTGTTGAAAATGCGGGAACGGTGGTATTTTCCTAAAAACTGGCGATTGGTTTTCCAAATGTGGTACTTCCGGAATGATGGGAGGAGGTAACTCCCTGTTGGGAGGGAGTAGAGCCTAAAATGCTCTTTGAGCCCTCCTTCTATGGTGAAACATTCTCTCAATATCTAGATCAATTTCGAAAATTCCCCGCGATGTGTTCTTGGAATACACCACTTTCAAGATGATTAAAACGGGTACTAGAAAAATCAAATCTTTTACTTTACTCAAAAGAAAACTTTTAGCTTGCCAATCCCCGGCAGCGGCGCCAAAAACTTGGTCGGGCGTTTCGTACACCTTTAGACAAATAAAATTGGGCCACAAGCAAGTATACAATATAGCTCAATATCGTCTTTCCAAGTAATAAAGTGGTATAAGTACCGGATTATCGTCTACGGAGATTGTAAAAGTCGAATGAGAGTCCAATAAAAGAAAAGATTTCAGATGACGAAAAATGAAGACTTCAGTTTGATTCTGAGTTAACACAAATAATATAACAAAATAATAAAGGTAGCACGGGTGTAAGACTTGGGGTGAAACGTAAACACAAAATCCAGCAGACAATGCCGTTGAAGAACTAGTTCCACCATCTATCTTAAAGGTATTCCTCTCGGACTTCACCTTTGCACTATATTATAGCTTAGCACCCATATCTCTATGTGGTGTTCAGACCAGGGATAGTAGCAAAGTGGTATCTTCAAGATATATGGCTAAACAAATATCTTTGTCATAAATAACTCTTTCGAGCCGATTCCCATATCATTCAAGTTGGCGTGTTCTTGATAGTTCATCTCTGAATCTATCACACTTTGACACTTTTAGAGAGTGACCAACCCGTCGGGAGTTAAGTTTGAAAAACAAAAATGACAAGTCTCCTTGTCGGTAACTTTCTCAAGTCTACCTCTTATATCATTCAAGCTGACGTGCTTATCAATGGCTTATCTCTAAGTCCATGGCACTTTAACACTTTCAAAATGATCAACTCGTCAAGAAGTGTGCTTGGTTTTATAAAACTTGAATGAAATAGTGGAACATTGTTATTGCGAAACAATGTCCACTTTCATTCGGTTTAACATTTCACCCTTTACCTACACCCGAGCTAAAGAAATTAGCTACTCATTACGGAAAGTAAATGACATAAATAAATGACATAAAGTAAAGACATGAATGTAAATGACTAAATATAAATGACATAAAGTAAAGACGGAAAGTAAATGACTATAAAAGTAAATAAAATAAAAGACTGATAATGCTACAGCACCTCAAGACGAAGAACAATGTTTAAATAAAAACTTAAAAACTTGCATAATCATAAAACTAAGAAGAAGTTGAGAGTGTTTTTGGAACCAAAAGTAAAGGATCAGATGGTTCAAGGATGATTTCTAAAAAGGCATCCATGGCCCTCTTTTATACACACAAGAAATACTAAAGACAAAAGTAAAGAAAAGGACACGGTACACATGAAAGGACTTGAAAGGAGGCATCATTTCCATCACAAAAGGTCATCCAAAAAAGTCTTCTCATGTCCTTTTCACCAACTGTTTAGAGAAAAATCGACAGTTCCTTCAGCTAAGACTTCCTTCTAGACAATGGCTGAACTATTAAGCACTTCTCCAAAAAGCCGAACTGGATCAGGTCAATGCTGCTGGAATGCTGCAACATCATAGTGTAGTATTTGTGAGTCAAAAATTGTCATCTACCCCCAAGTTGTTGTAAAACAAATCCATCACCACATTTAGCTCCAAACATAATAAATGGAAAATAAGGAAGTAAAAATAACTCAAGGTTGGGATAAACTAGGAAAATCTACCTATTAAACAAAGGAAATGGGTACTTTAAGCATGTAATAAACCATGCTTATCAGGCGGTTATGGAAACCGTAAATTAAAGGTGTAAATACAACGTAAGTTAAGAAACTGCTTGTTAGTTTTTTTTCCAAGTTAGTTTTGTAGAGTTATGTACCAGATTGTCGAGTCATAGTTAATGAGCAGGGCATAAAAAAGTTTAAGTGTTTCATGCAGAGAGTCACCTCATGCCCAGAGCTTCACTTACGGTTCAAATAGGTCTATTTAAGTGACATGTGTCCCTCTACACGTTTTTTTTTTCTGTGGTTTAATTGATGTTCCAGATGAAGAAAACAACTCTGATATGTTCTACGTATCACTAAATCTGGAATCATTCTTTCTAGTCTTTTGTTGCATGTACGTGAAAGTCTGGACTTATGTTCCCTTGTCAACATTCATAATTGTATGGCAGACTTAGAAGGTAGCCCACCATAAAAATCTAAGAACAAATCTGAACTCCTTTTCCCCAATTTAAATTTAGAGTTCTCTTCGATATTTATGATGCTTACATGGATCAACAAATAAATCCCATCACACTTAATTGCCATTAATGATACAAATCAACAACATGAAAGGCATTAGATTTTGAATGCAACTCTGAACCCCTCTTCGAAATTACTTTTTTGAGTTATAAGAAAGCAGAATTCTTGTGCTCCAGAATTATGCTTCTTCATACTTCTTAGAATTAGAAGGTTATTATGAATTCCGTTTATTCAGAGTTAAATCAATAGTTATTTTCCTGGCTAACACCAGAACTCTCATTTCTTGTGTTTCAGAGTTAATGTTTAAAGTTTACTTTTAGACCTGAGGAAAAGTCTGGACTTATTTCACTCCATTAAAATACTCCGTGTAATATACGGGTCAAACCTTTTCGTGACCCATTTATATTTTGTAAAAAAACATCATTCACAACTGTTTGAAAAACAAAATAAAAATAATCAGTGTTAGACCCCATAATCCATAAAGGGTAAAAGTAATGAAAAACAATAAGTGATGAAGAACCAGAAGACCGATGAAGACATCAAGACAGAATTGACTAAGTCTGTAGAACAACCAGAGGGTCGATGAACAACCAGAGATGCGATGGAAAGAGCATCTTTGCGTGTCCACAATAATGATCAATCTTCAATAAAGCTCCATAATCATGGCAGATCTGATAAATCTTCAATAACAATATAGAGAGAGTTGAGAGAGAAAGTCAATGCTCTAAAAGTGGTCAAACTTCACTTTACGTAATCTGATTTTACAATGAGCTCTCTTCTTTACAATTACAAGACTTTACCTTTTATATAGGGTCAAACATTAAAGTCCTAGTCAAAGTCAAACTTTACAGAAAAGTCAAATACGATGACTTTTACAATTATAGACAATATTTAACTTTCAAGACGAATACAAACTAATACTGATTTTCAGTCCTAACATTCTCCCCCTTTGTATTCAGACTTGAAAGAAATTCCATGCTTTAAGTCTTGTTTGAACTTTGAAACTTTAAGCACATTATGACTTCTTCAAAATCAAACAAAACAATCTTCAACTTGAAATCTTTAAACAATTATCTGTTGAGAAAGATCTTCTAACATTCTCCCCCTCGAATGTAGAATCGCGATGATCTTCTCTTTTGACAATGTAGAACAGTAATCATCAGAAACAATGTACAAGATGTGATCTTCAAAGGATCTTCATACAACAAACCACAAACTTTCTTTTTGGTAAACTTTTGAAACATTGATCTTCTCATTCAAAAACTCTCAGTCGTGTAGCATCGGAATAATCTTTTGGAATCATCTCCAGTCGCACTTCTTTTGAATCTTTTGCCAAATTTGAAGTTACCCCCCTTGATCTTTACATCAAAATCCCTTTTAAATGTTCAGAAATGAATATTTCATTCATTATTACATACCCCCCCTTATGATGAAATGAGAATCATTCCATCATACACAAGAATGAATGAAATTTTCCACGTAAGCCGTCAATTCATGAAAATGTAAGTAGATTTTTGCAAATCCACTTGTTTAATCTTTTCAGATTAAGGGAATGGGAAGGTAACATCCAATTTCAACGAATGAAATTGTTTTCAATCTTATAAAAAGATTGGCCTGTGAGTATAACAGATATACT